CTGCCCCTCCCCTGCCCACAGGCTGACTGCGGACCAGGTGAGGTGGCCCCACCCGCCCTTCGCCCACTCTCAGCTTGCAGCCACACGGCTCCACAGGCTCGAGGCAGGAAGTGGCGGCAGAAGGCCAGGTGTGCCCAGGGGCAGCCCAGGTGGGGGCGGCTGCGCTTCTCCCCCAGCTGACCCGCGGGGCCTGGCTCCTCCTTCAGCCTCCGGAGCCCCCTCCCCAGGGGCTGTGAGGGGGACGCCGTGGGGGCCGGGGGGGCCGACCCCGCCGGGCCACAGGCCGGGCCGCCCGGTGCCGCTGTGGACGCTGCTAAGTGGTGTCGGGGCAGCTCCGAGCGCCCGGTCTCCCAGAGCTGACAGCTCTTCGCTTGGGGAATAATTAATTCCACAGCCTGAAAACCCAGGGCTGCAAGTTGCCACGTTACTTGCGAGATTAATACAAGCAGCTAATTAAGATGGAGAGGTGGGGGGCAGCTGGGCCCTCCAGGGCGGGGGGGCACCGCCGGAGGGCGAGGCCGGAGCCTGCGGGCATCGTGGGGCGGCGGCATGAGGGCCTGGGTGTGGCCTAAAGCCCAAGGGCTGGGCTGAGCGGGCTGGGCTGAGCGGGCGAGGAGTTTGCCGCGAGTGCCCCCCACAGAGAACACCCCACTTCCCGTCACAATGATGCCACAAGGGGGCACCGTGGCCCCCGAGCTGCAAAGGAGGGAAGCCAGGCTGAGGTCCAGTTCAGCAGTGGCAGTCGTGGGACTGAAACCCAGAGCCAGGCCTCAAGGCAGGTCATCTCGGGGCAGATGTGGGATGGCCGTGGGCCACCCCACTGGCCAGGCGGGGCCTGCCCCTCCACAGCCCACAGCCGGGCGGAGCACAAGGCCCTCGGAGGCCCTCTCCACCCCTGGCCGGCAGGCCTGCCTGAGGAGGTGAGGGGCTGGGGCTCCTGGAGACAGGGGCTTCCCACCTGGACAGCCCCGCCGGAGCCCAGGAGGCCTGGGCTCAGGGGACCCGCTGGCTCTGGGGCAGTCCAGGCAGCTGCTGGAAGCCGACCCCTCAGCCCTCCCCCGCCTCCCCCATCACCTCTCTCTTAATTAACACAGCCGCAAACCAGCAGACTCCCGCTCAGGGGCCGTGCCAAAGGGCTGGCGGCTTGCCTGGGAGGCTGGGGGAGGGGCGGCCCGTGCCGCAGGCCCCTGTCAGAGGGCCGCCCAGCCCCCACCTTCCCGCACCCCCACACACACCAGGGGGGCCCTGCCCAGTGGGACACTCACGAGCTGTGCCCGCAGCCTCCAGCCGGGCCTGAGGGGGTGGGTCTGGGCAGGGGAGGACTTCACAGCCCTCGGAATTTTCCTGCCACAGGTGGGAGAGGGTGGGCGGCCCTGGGGCTGGGCGCTCAGAGCGGCCCAAGAGGACCAGCCTGGGCCTGTCGGGGCTGGGCAGATGCCCTAGGAGTGTGCCCTTCCCACAGAGCTTGGCAGAGCGGGGGTGGGGGTGGGGGAGCGTGGTCTGGGCCAGCTCCCCTGCGACTCCTTCCCATGGGCCTGACTGACCCTCTCTCCAGGGGCTGGGACACCCCTTCAGCTCCCAGAAGGCTGCCCAAGGCCCTACAACTGGGCCCAGTGGCTCCAGAAGTCTCCCCCCGGCATGCCTGGCCCCCACTTGAAAGAAGCAGGCAGTTCCCATCTCCTGCCCAGACCAGAGCTGGCCCTTCCCACCTCACCGCACCTACACGACCACCTTCTCCTGTCCCCCCACCCAGCTCCCCTCAGATTGGTTTCAGGCTCTAAATCGTAACCGGCACTAGCCCAGGTGAGGGTGTGGAGGTGCTCGTGGCTGGGGGCCAGCACCCACGTTCCTACCCCTCGCGCTGCTGTCTGGAAGCCCCTGGCTGCTGGGGGTGTGGTGACGGCTGAGCGGTGGGTGACGGGGGACGGGCACTGGGCTCCTGTCCGAGCCAGGCGGGGGACCTGCCAGGCAGGACGGCCCAGTGGCTACGGGGCGGGTGCCCGGCTCTGCTGGCAGTGGGGCCCGGGCAAGGGCCAGGTGACAGGGGTGAGAGGCAAGGGCTGCCTCTAGGTCACAGACACCCCCTCTTCTCTTTCCCACCCCCAGCCCCGGTTAACACTTCCCTGAGTGCCTGGGCAGCACATAAGCATGTGTCTCAGGGCCCCAAGACGTTGGGCCACCAATGTGACCCCTTCTTAAGTAAGAACGACGACTAGATCCTGGTGGGCCCACGGCGCCGGCGTCTGGGACGGCGATTTTGTCACTGAGCAGGTCACGAGCACCAGCCGGGCGGACTGGCCCTGCTCACGTGATGCGCCCTGACGGCCTCACGGCCCCCTCGGGGCTGGGGGGCGGCGGAGCCAGGGACCCTGCCCACCCTGGGAGCAGCTTCCTCTTCTGGCCCATGTCACAGGCGGGAGAGCGGAGCCACAAAAAAGCGCACAGCGCAGCCCGAATGCCCCCTGCTTCCCCATGAGCCCCCCAAAGCCCTTTGCTCTCAGAATAAAGAACAGCCCCAGGTACCCCTGCTCACGCATCACCCTCCCTCGCCTGCTCTCTGCTGTCTCCCTGACACTCAGGTCCTCACCCCATTTCCAGGGAGAGCCCCTCACTGCTCCCCCACTCGAGTCAGCCTGGAGGGGTGCTCCCTGCACCCCCAGGTCTAGAGCCCCTGCCTGGTGGCACTCTCCTGGGCATGCCTCCAGCCTCCGCGGTCCAGCTAAGAGCCTCCTGCTCCCTGCCCCCCACACCCTCCCCCCGCATGGCTCCCCCACAACAGTGCCCCCGCTCCCAGCATGGGCCCTGGGCTCTGCGGGTGCCCACCAACAAGCCTCAGACCCTGATGGCAGGTTATGGGTGGGGACGCCCAGCTGGGCAGCAGGGGCTGCTGGGCCCGGAAGCCTGGTCTCCACTATCCAGCGAGGGCCCGTCTTGGCCTGGAGCTGCTGGGAGGCAAGAGCTGGGGGGGAGGGCAGGGGCCAAGGGCCGCTGGAGGTGGTGACACGGGGTGGACTCGGCCTCGGCTTCTCCCTGACAGGGACTAAATCCTCCAACCTGATGGGGGTGGGCGCGCTGGCGGGGGCTGGGCCACCAGAGAGGACACTCAGTGACCCAAGGAAAGCGCTGAGCAGGTTACTGGGCCAGGGAGAAGCCGGGCGAGCGGGCACAGCAGTGACTTTGCGGCAGACACAGCCCTGTGTGGCGGGGCCCCTGCCCACTGCCTCCTGCATCTGTGCTGGCCTCGACCCCCTGGCTAAGGGAGCTGGGTGCTGCTCCCCCAAATCACCCTGCCCTGTGGCCTGGCCCACTTGCCCCAGCCTCCCTTGAGACCAATCTCAGCTCCCTGTGATTTGGCACATCAGCGCCCGCCTCCTCTGGGCCAGGCTCTGGACAGGGATAGGCAGGCCCACCCTCTAGCCCGGGACAGCTGAGAGAGAGCTGGATGTGGACGGGAATTACTGTTAGCCCCAGAGGCTGGCCCATGTCACAGGCGGGGGAAGTGTGGCCGGTGGGCGGTGGCGGGAAGGGTCTGCTGAACAGGGGGTCCAGCTGTGAAGAGCGCACCCCAGACCCCAGGCAGGGGCAGGAGTGGGCTGAGGGCCCCACAGCGCCTGTCCCTCAACCAGAGCACCCCGCCCCGGGCGCCGGCTGAGCACCCACTGTCTCCAGCCCCCGGAGCCCGGCACGGCACTGGCATCTGTGAGAGGGCTCTGGACACCCCTAAACCCTGCTGGGGAGTTTGTTGTTGGGAAATCAACATGGCTGCGTCCCCCACTTCCCGCTGGCCTTGTGAGTATCCCTTGTCACGGGTGGGGGGGAGGGGGGGCTCAAGTCAAGTCGTTCAAAACCTTTTAGATTAGAAACGCCCCAGGATGGAATCCAGTGAAACGCACTGTATTTGTGAAGATAAAACAAGTGAGTTCAAAGGCGTCTCAAGCTGCGCGAGCAGTAGCCGCATTTGACAAGTTCCGTTGCGCCAGACCAAGGTCACGCTCCTTCGAGGCGGCTGCCCAGTGGGAAGTGGGCGCTTGACTGGACACTCCCCGGACTTGGGGGGCGGGGGTCTCACCGTGGCAGCGTGCATCGTGATCAGCGCCAGCTGCACACAGGCCCCGCCTGCGCCCCACACCCCCAGCTCCGTGTATACAACCCCTCCCCACACTCAGACAGAGACAGCCGGAGAGGCAGTGGCCGGGCAGAGCCCACGGCCTCTGCAGGTCCCGACCCCAGTGGGCCCCGGCCGCTGTCGCCCCACGGGCTGGGGGTGCAGGCTTGAATAGCCTCTGAGGTGGTTGTGGCCTGGGAGCCTCGGGTGCGCGGTTCACCAGCGCACGCCGCA